CAAAATTGTCTTAAGAGCCCAATATCCCATTCAAGAGTTCCATTGAGGTAAAAGTGGAAGGTGAACGTCACTAGCTCTTTTATATAATTCCTTGGTAAACTGGGTTTGTCCTGGTGGCGATGGTTACTCCATTTGGGCTTCCTTTGCTTACTTTGTTTCCCTTTCTAACGAGTGCTTATTTGCTTAGGAAAATATGATATTCTCTACTATAGCCATCAAAGTTTAAAGAAAAGAAAAATTTTAGTTTCGATTTGAGTAAATATTTTAGTTATGTTATTTTTTGATAGATATTAATAAATGAAAGGTAAAGAAAGAAAATAAAAGTTTTTTAAAAGAAAAAAAAAAGTATACATATATTTTGTTTGGACAATGAAAATTAATAAAGAAAAATAAAAAATAATTCTAACAATTATTATTTTGATAAATAATGAAAAGGAAAGAAAATAATTCATTATAATATTTTTAATTATAACTTTTTTTTATAAATACAAATATATCTTTATACTACCTAGCTTGTAATAAATAAATCTTTCTAAACAAAAATTGAGCGTGTTTAATATGGTAAAATATATTCGTTAGTTATTGATTTACTCTTAATTTTGTGTTTAATTCAAATCTTTTAATTTATTCTGACAATAATTTAACTTCTTTTATTGTTAAAACTTGAAAAATTATAAAAATTTATAAACTATGGTGTCATATAAAATACTAATAAAAAATTATTTTTGTAGGAAGTGTCAATTATATATTAAAAAGTAATGTCATACCACAAGCTAAAAGGTAAAGATGATTGGGATTGAACCGTAAGTCAAAAATTAATGAGACTGAACTGTAAGTTGAGAAATAGGAGATTGGGTACTTCATAGACCAACAGTTTCGATTTTAAAAATAAGGCTGTCATCTTTGGTTCGAGAAAGAAAAATACTGATTCTTCCTGATATCTCATAAAGAAACCTTCTATGCAACTTATCGAGAGGCATGTAATGCGTGCAATGATTGAAATGAATGAAAGGACAAAGATGCCATCAACAAATTATATCATGCATTTCATCCAAGTTAATTCAACTTTTGGTTCAATTCTTTCAAACTTTAAAAGCCTTTCCCGTAATCTCGTCCTTTGACTCTTTCAATTTTTGACCAAAAATCTTTGTCTCATGACGGACCTATCTAGCTTTTAAATCGCTCTAAAATCTCTTCTTTTTTCTTATCCTCAGTAATCAATCAATTTCATTTTCATTCTTTTTGCCCCCGTGTTACTCATTTTTGTCATCCTTATATTGCATTCTCTTTTCGAGCGATGCGTTGGTTTATTATGAACTTTATCAATCAATATCTTATTTCAATGACAAATGCAATGATTTCAGGTTCAAAGTTGGGGTGTGCAATACGATCAGTAATAGGATATTTTAAGTTTAGAAAGATAAAGCTTTTTGAGACATAAAGAACAGTTGATTCAAAAGTATTTCAAAAATCAAATATCAATTCTCTAAATAATGAACATTTGACGACTTCGGCCTACACGGACCAGGTCTTTTTCCAAAAACTCGTTACATTTGTGATCTTGTCACTTGTTTTCATATGACCAATCTTTGTCCCATATCTGTGACTAATGAGAACTTGCCCCCTAAAAATCATATCTTTTAATTCTGGTGACAATTCGTCCATTCGGTGCCACTTTTTTGTTCTCTGAAAAAAACTTTCTCCGAGTTCCATATTCATTCAAGCTGTCTTTACAGGTTTTTAGCTTAAATGACCCCCTTTTGACTCAAACCGCCCTTTTCAAGTTTTCAATCTGAATCACTTCCTTTCTCATTTTTTTTCCTTTTTTTTATTTTTTTATTTTTTTTATTTTTTTTATTTTTTTTTCAATTTTTTCATTTTTTTCATTTTTTATGTTTTTTGTGTTTTTTGTGTTTTTATTTTTTTTATTTTTTTAAGCAAAATATTTCTTGACAATGTCTGAATTTACAAGACTTGGCAATTCATCTCTGTCCATTTCTGTAAGGATCAGAGCCTCACCAGAAAAAGCTTTTTTTACCACATATGGTCCTTCCCAGTTAGGCGTCCATTTTCCTCTATTGTCATGCTGATATGGCAAAATCTTTTTCAAAACCAATTCGCCCTCACGAAAACATCGGGGTCGTATCTTTTTGTCATGCGCTCGCATGATTCTTCTTTTGATACATTATC